TGAATTTAGGATTTTATATTAAAAAAAAAAAAAAAAAGAAGATCGCAAAGGACAGCTGAGAGCGTGTCCCTCTGAAGATGCTGCCCTCAGCTCTCCACCTCTGGAAGATGGACTCTCCTGTTGTCACCCCATGAGTAAGAGACGCAACTCTTTAGACAAGCGCTCAGCCAAGAGCTGGGCTCGTTAAACAAAGGCACCATTTAGCAGAAACCCTCCCCGCTTCCTTCCCAGAGAAGCTGGGCCGTTCCGTGCCAGCCGGCAGGCACGGGAGACGGGCCCTGCCAGGAGCTCACAGCCCCTGCAGCCTCCCCAGGCTGCCGGCGGCCTCCCAGGAGAGGCAGAAACGCGATGCCGTTTGCCGCCTTCCCCATGGAGGAGAGGAGATCCTGCGCCGATCCCCATCTCGCGGCGAGCCAGGGGAACCCTCCCAGCCCCAGGAATCTCACCTCGTCCTGAGCATCCTTCTTGATGAGGAAGGGCAGGTTCCTGGCCGTCGCCATGAGTACGTCGGCCGCTTGCTCGGGTGACAAGAAGGGGAGGATCCGGGCCACGAGGCGTTTCCCTTTCCGGATGCACATGATCTGCATGAAGTGGTCGTCGCTTGGCCTGCCAAGGAGAGGAGAAAGGTGCCGACCCTCAGCTGGGAGCGTCCCAGGGCAGACGGGGTGTTCCCGTGGGTACCCCACAGCCAGCTCTGCACCGGCACCAGGCAGAAAACACGCCTGCCTCAAAAAAACATCCCTGGGGAGGGAGAAGCAATGGAGGAATGACACCCCTAACCCTAACCTCTGCCTGTCTGGAGGGCGAGGCAGGAGGACAAGGCCCCACTCCCATGGGGCACCAGAGAAGGGGCACCAGAGAAGGAGCCCCCGTGTCCTTCCTTGCCCATCTGTGCTGCTGAGGCTACAGGTCAGGGAAGAGGCGACAGACTTCAAAACAGGCACCCAGAGATGTGCCGGGGCGCAGAGCTGCGGGCGGACAGATGCCCAACGAGCATGCAGACAGGCACTATTCGCAGCACCCGTGCTGCAGGGATGGAAGTTGGTATAGGATCATAAACACAGTGAACAATCGCGTGGGGAAAATGGTTAAAAAAAGGGGAAGGGGCGGGGGGGGGAAAGGTTATTTCAGCCCCCAGTTCCCAACGCACTCTTGGAAGAATCAGCCCGACTCTTCTTTGGGAAACAGGTCCCTGGAAAGCCAGTTTCAGCAGCTGCAAGCGCCCACGGACTCTGTGAGTTCCCAACAGCGACCAAGTCGGTGGCTCTGCTCACCTCTCCTGCCCGGGGGCCTTCCCCCGCAGATTGTCATACATATCACAGATCTTCTGCTTCCTCTCGCCCATCAGGGCCAGCCGCTCGTCTTCCAGGCTCAGGAGGTAGCGTCTCTCGTAGTCCTCCACGTCCAGGAGGAGGCTGTACGTCTGCGGGAGAGACGGTGATCAGGGCAGGGCACAGGGATCTGCGGCAGGATCTGCTAGCCCTGCTCCGCAGAGATCCAGGACGTGCCTGGCCCCCAGCCAGCGCCCTCCCGTCTCCTTTGCTGCTCCAGGAACCGCAGATCCTGGCCCAAACCACGTCAAAGCCTCCTTCAGACCCAGCGCAAGAGCAGACTGAACTCTGTGACCCACAAGCGTCCATCCTCTCGTGCGGCAGCTGCAGAGGGCCGAGGCGTTACTGCCTTGCGGCTGTGAGTCAGTAACGGACCCTGCAAAGCCCGTCCAGGCTGTTTTGGGGCAGGGTGAAGGCATGGCTGATACCCGGCTCCAGCCTTTCTGCTCCAGGGACCCCCTTCTCCTGCAAGCCGGGCCTCAGCCACTGTCAAGTGTGTTTGCGTTCAAAAAAACGGGCAGATGTGGCACTTTGGGCCATGGTTTAGTGGGCATGGGGGTGTTGGGTTGATGGTTGGCCTGATGATCTTAGAGATCCTTTCCAACCTTAGTGATTCCTAGTTTTTACTTTCATTCAAAAATAATGCAGCCACCAAGCCAGGAAACATGAAATTATTCCTCTCCCCTTAATTGGTTTAGTGGTGGACATGGTAATGTTAGGTTAATGGTTGGACTGGATGATCTTAAAGGTCTTTTCCAACCTAATGATTCTAGGATTCCAAGTGCTGGCTTGTCCCCAGCTGGATGTCCAGAGTTCATCAGTACTGCACCGCGCTCTCCCTGGCCCTTCCTTTGCCCCAGTTGCCCTCGAACTCACCTTCTCGATCGTGACAAGGGTCTGGCGCCTCTTGTCCCGAACCTGCTTCTCCTTCGTCTCCTGCTGACGAGGGACAGCGAGTCAGGGCTGCGGGCAGCTCCTGCGCCGGCCTGAGCACCAGCCGCAGAGCCACGTCGGAGGGGAGGCAGGGCCAGAACTCACGTCATCCTCGCTGCGGGAGGTTACCACCGCGTCGATCATCTTCCGGGGGTTGTTCACGCTGGAAACCGTGAGCTTCCCGAGCGAGCCCTCAAACTGCACTGCACGAAGTGAGGAGAAGGGAAGCAAAAGGAGTCAATCCGGGCCTGACCCCACCTCACCCCCCTTTATCTCCGGCCCAGGTCCGGGCTGCGTGGAGAAAGGTGCGCTTACCTGGCTTATAGGTGTGCTCCAGCTTAGCCACCTGAGGTGTGATGAGTTTAGTGCGTTCCTTCTTGGGACCATCACCGTGGACTTCCTCCGCTGCTGACAACTTCTCCAGCTTCTGGAAGTAATTCTGAGGCAAGGAGAGGAGAGGTTGAGACCCCCCGAAAAACAGTTGGCAAGGACTGATGCAAGATACCTTCCTGGTCTTCCCAATGCCAGCAGCTGCATTTTAAACCACCGTTCTTCCCTCAGCACACGAGGGGACAATTGCATACTCCTCTTTATCATCCCTTGGGATTACAGAGGTCGAGGTTCCTCCTCAGCCCTCTCTTTCTCAATACAACGATGAAACCACTCTCCCTGTGAGGTCTCGGGCTCCCAGTCCTTTCCAGCACATTCCAGTTAGCTTGCCCAGGCTGGGCAGCGCGTGGCTGGGGCCTCCCACACTGGTGCTCACGCGCTCTTCCCGTCCGCTCCGGCCAACGTTCGCGTCTTTCGCAACGGCAGAACTTTGTTGACTCACGTCTCAGCTGCGGCTGCACCAGTTCCCCACTTCTACTGGGGATCGGCTCACCCACAGCTCCCAAAAAAACCCTCTGTCAGCACGATACCTCCTGTCAGCCCCAGAGCAGACAGACCCGCCGTCGGCAGCTCTCCTGCCAGCTCCCACCGGAGCTCAGACAACCCGCAGCAAGCGCTCGTCCCCGTTCCCACCGGGCCCTGGCTCACCACGGAGGGGACTGGACTGCTCTGACCCATTTCACCGCGCTGGTGACTGCTCTCCCTGCTCTGCCCCGCGCCCACGGCTGCACCGACTGCTCTGCGACTTTTCTGGGTGTACAGCTGGCTCCTCTGCACCCCCTTCATGAAGACGCAGGCCAAACCTCCGGCACAGCTTATGCCTGCCCCAGATACACTCCCAGCCACCCCGCAAGCCCTGTTCGATCTCCCAAGCCAGGACATCCATCCTATGTAGCTTGAAGTCCTGCACAGATTTCCCTCGCATGAAATTGCCCTGTGTACCCTCAAACCCAGCTGAGCTTTGAGCATCTACTACCATCAGCAAGAGCCCAGCCGTCACCTTGCTTCCTCTGCTCCAAATCTGCCTCCTCCCAACCCTGTCTGGCACTCCCAATTCCTGAACTGGAAAAGAGCAGGAGCAGTCTCTCCCCATCCACCTTCTCCCCCTCGCTCTTTGGACCCCATGGCCTTCACCACCACCTCCTGTCAGACTGGAGTCCTCCTTACGCAGCCATTCCCTGCCCCGAGCTCTCTCCTGCGTTTTCCATTTAGCAGCTTCCCTGTCTCCCATTCCGGGTGTTTTATTCTACTGCCGTCACATGCGGCTTCTGATTGTAGGCAAGCTGCTCTCCTGTCATCTTGGGCCTTCTGCTGCGCCCTCCAAATCCATGCTGCCCGAGTCCCCCAACATCTCCTCGCCCCTGGAGATCTTGCCCAAAACCAGGAAGGCGTTCTTCCCTCACCGCTGCCCCGCTCCCCTTCTTCCCTTGCTGGGGATGCTTGCCCTACCCCGTCCCTCTGCCTTTCTCCTCCAGCGCATTCCCCACGACTGGATCTAGAAACGCTTCTTCCGCTGCATCACGCTCAGCACCAGCACCCCCTTCCCACCCAACGACCCTCGGCACAGAGGCTGCGCCGGGAAGACACCGATCCCATGGGAATGTGAAAGCATTGCCCTGCCAGCAGCCACGGGACATGCAGCAGAGCGGGCTGGGCGCTTCTCCCTCTCCAGTACCTGGTAGTAATAGTCATCCAGGTAGGGATCAGTGCTCTGAAGCTGCATCATCTGGATCTTGGACACCCAGTCCTTTTCCCGCTGCAGCATGAGGTTGGCGTAGGGGTCTTTGCGCATCTGCTCCTGATGGCTGCTCCGGTGGCCCCCTCGGTCCCCCGACATGCAGCAGAGCGGGCTGGGCGCTTCTCCCTCTCCAGTACCTGGTAGTAATAGTCATCCAGGTAGGGATCAGTGCTCTGAAGCTGCATCATCTGGATCTTGGACACCCAGTCCTTTTCCCGCTGCAGCATGAGGTTGGCGTAGGGGTCTTTGCGCATCTGCTCCTGATGGCTGCTCCGGTGGCCCCCTCGGTCCCCCCCCGCGCCGTTGAGGCGCCGGTGTTGGT